CCTAAACCAACCTACGCCTCAGGGGCCTCAATAATTACCTATACTATTTTGGGGGTTCCTTATGATAACTATAGTATAATATATCCCCAGAACCCTATTCTAATTATTAAGGCCCCCATACTGCGCCTCCACAGTCTTGATCTCCACCACCGCGAAAGTCAATGCGCCTCAACCCTAAACCCGCCTAAAGTGAAAGCCAGAAAGTTGGAATATGATTATCCTAAATCCTTTATGGTAAATTATGGGGTATCCTACCCTGAAACCATATTCCAACTTTCTGGAGTTCCCTATAGACTTTTCCAGGTCTTTCGCTCTCACCAAGAAAACTTGTTTTTGTGCCAGGCAATCTCCTGGCGATGTGGCTGTATGCTAAGGCATCCCGCAGGGCTTCGACGCTCAAGTCTCGGCATAGGTACTTGCAGGACCCTGTTATTGTTATACACTTGTCAGGAACAGTCTTCAGGGCGTTCTACACCTGATTAAGAATCCGGGTCATGGAATCCTAAAATTAGGAGCCACGTTGATAAATAGCCCCATTATAGACCCAAGGTGTCTTCACCACGTTGCAAGATCACCCCGATAAACCTAAGCAGGTTTAGCATGCTATGTTAGGGTACGGGGGTGCGGCTCTCGGCTCTTCAAGGACGTTCCTGGTTTCCAAGTGGGAGTCGCTATGCAAGATCTACCTATAGTCGCCATTGTAGTTCCTTTTCTTGGTTAACCAGTTTTATGGTTAGGAAACTATAATGGAGATTTTGGTTAACCAAAAAAGGAACTACAATGGAGACTATAGGTATAGTGAACCCCAGAAAGTTGGAACATTGATGTAGGATGATTCTTGCTGATTCCCTGTAATTAACTACTTTACTTTAAGGGCACGAGGATAACGATGTTCCAACTTTCTGGCTTCTACTGTGGGATTGCTTTGTGCTCTACCCTGTAAATCATGGGTATATGAAGCAATCAGGGTTTGTAGGGTGTAGGTTTTTGTTTCTGGGTGCCTAACACAAGCTAAGTAATTCCCAATAGCCATACTTCTTCCTAGTGGGTTACTGCTGAACAGCCGAGTAAACCTAAACCCCAAACCCTATCTAGTTCTCGAATAAAGGCTAAAAGGCAGCTGTACACGTATATCAGAAGCCTTACTGACCATGTACCGAAGGGGTCCTGTTTGCCGACACAGTACAAAAAAGTCGTTGTCGGGTTGTTCGGAGCTACAAGCATGAGTTTGTGTAGGTATTCCCCAATCAAGGACCTCAGATGCTTTGGGAGCAGCTCTGATGCAAGAGATACTCTGCCTCAGGTACCACGTCTACTTGCGAAGGGTGGCTGGCCGCAGGTGCTGCGCGACTCGTTGAAATACGTTCAGTCTCGTACTCTAAAGAAGGGTTGTCCCTTCAGAGGTCTTTGCAGAAAGATTGGCGAGATCGTTGATGGGTTCTTATTCAGGACTAGGTCGACTAGATCATGGGCCGTGTCGGGTCCCGTCTATCCTCGAGGCAACCCGGACAAAAGGTTGTTTAAACGCAGCTCAGCACTAAAATCCTAACACCTCTATGCCATACATGCACTACCCTAATTCCTCAACCCCAAATCATGCATTAAAGCATCGACGAGAACCTCCAAACGAACCACATATCCGCAAAGCACCCAAAACCCTGGAAACCCCCAATCGCCGAACATCCTGCAACCCCCACCTTTTCGTCCTGCATCCTACGCCCTAAACCCGCAACCCCGCCTAAACCCTGTAAACCCTTAAATAGCCCCAAACATCCCCACACCATAAACGTTAAACTGCAAAACAGCAGCAAAAAGCAAGCAGCAGACACACACCCTAAACCTTGTAAGCCCTTCACCCCGAACCATAAACCTGAAGCTAGAACAATCTACCCAGAAGCACAGCAGCAGAGAAACTGAGGCCTCTACGCCCTTCAGGTGTCTCTTGGTGCACTCTGCTTGGCGGTGTTTCAGTTGCCCGGCAGGGTTCAGGATGTAGGGTTTAGGGATGTTTAGGGCTTAGGGTTTAAGGAATCCTAAACCCATGCAAGCCCTGCACACTAATCATGATATCTGAGCCTGAAACAGCCCTGAACCTTGCTCTCTCGGATTCTTCAGGGTTCTTCGAGGAGTAAAGGACATAGACAAGGACGTGATAAACGAGCTGGGTTTTCGGATAAGGGTACATCTCACCCCCAGAAACTCAAACCCTCGACCCATAGCCCTAAACCCTCTCCGAAGTTTTACGCAGCGAAAAAGTATCGGAAAGCACACCAAATAAGCTACAGCAGTTCCGAATATGTGCCACACAGCGACGTATCCTGTATCACAGTATAATGTACTGTAGTAGATCCAATCTAAGTACACCGCCGAGACCATTTCTAATTAAAGGCTGCGATACTAGACTGCCATCTCTAAACCCATACCATAGAACCCTTGTGCTGTACCTGACAGAACCCTTCTAAGAAACCGTAAACCCTAAGCTCTAATCCCGGCGCATGAGCCTCCAAGTAGACTTCCAAGGTGGCTGGAAGCTTCCGACCCAGTGAGCAGAAGCCCTTTCGACTTGGATGCCTAATGAAGGGGTTACTTGGAGGTTCATTGGTAGTTGTAAGTAGGCCTATAAGTAGGGGAACTATACGTATAACCCATATTAGGGGACGTACAACACCACTTATAACTACCCGCGAACCTCCAAGTAGGGTTCCTTTTTCGAAGGGGCCCATAAGGGCTACTGTAAGGCATCTATAAATTAAAGGTACTACAGTATAATGTAGGATGTAGGGGCCTTCCATAACTAGACTCGGGTTTAATGTGCAAAATTAGACTGGGGTTTTGGGTGCCTTGATAATATACCTTTACCAGACCAGGAAGCCTTCGAGAAGATTTCAAGCCTCAAACCCTAAATAAACCTTAAATTTCCTGAAACCCTAACCCTAAAACCCTAAATATTTATGCTTCTATAGGGAGCAGATCTAGGGTTACATTCGCTTTAGAGTGTGGGAGTTTGGGGTTTTTGGGTTGTGCGGTGTAGGGTTTTAGTGAGGGGTTTTGGGTTTGCAGATCTTGAAGTTCAGGGAATGAGGGTTTCGTTGTTGAGGGTTTGAGGATTTTTTGGCTTGTTTGAGTGAGGGTGTGACATGGTTGGGGTTGCAGAGTTATTTTGGGGTTTGTGGTTCAGAGTTGTGGCGGCGTAAACCCTATAAACGTTTACGGCTTGGGGGCTTGAGAGGTTTGATTTCGTGGTCTAGGGGATATAGAGTTGCATTGAGGTTTTGGTTTTCAGGCTTTAGGTTTAGGTTTAGGGTGGTGAGGGTCTGGGAGTTCATGTTTAGGTGCTCAGGGATTTTGGTTTTGGGCGGTTTTAGGTTTAGAGTTTCGGAATTTAAGTTTTGGGGGGGTTCAGGTTTAGAGTTCAGGATTGATTGAAGCGGCCATGGGGTGGCGGGGGGGGGGGGGTTTAGAAGTAGATTCAGGGTTTGGGTGTTGAAAGGTTCAGGCTTAGTGGTGTAGGGGCTTAGTGCTTCGGGCTGAGGGAGTTAACAGGTGAAAACTTCGGCTTCAGGTCTTTGGTTTGGGAGGTTTTGAGCGTAAGGTTACGGCTTGGGTTCAACAAACGGCAACGCAATTAGTGGAATTAGCAATACAGCTCTTTCTGGAGGATGTAGCTAGTTATGCTAGTCTAGAGGCATCCCTGGTCCCGATTCCAACTGCCTAACCCTAAGTCCTAAACCCAAAACCCCTAAACCCTAAACCCTAGGCCTTTACGGAGCCAGGGCTTCGGAGTGGGGTGAAGGATTTTTTGGGCTTAGGTTTAGCAGAAGAAATGGCGAACCCTGGTGTTCGTTGGGTCTGGGTAGCCTAAACTTTGAAGGGTTCGCTTCTTAAAGGTTCCGTTTCATCCTAAACTCTAATCCTGAAACCCCGAATCCTAAACCCTAAACCTTATTCCCTAAAGGTCCAAGTCATTTAGGACTTTGGGGCCTTTTGGGGTACCAAAAACCATAATCGAGCCCTGAGGGTCCATGTACCCAAGGTACCTGGAAAGGGAGTACTTTAATGGTCAAAGTATATACTCTCTGGGTACTTAGGAAAGGACTACTTGGACCCTTAAAGTGTGCGTTTTCATCTGAAGCCCTAACCCGAAACCCTAAACCCAAAGTCCTTAAACCCTAAACCCTAAACTCTAAACCCCCCACACCCCAAACCCTATATTCCTTCCTTCGTAGGACGGCAAGGCGCTAGGAGGAGCCTGAATCTGGGCTCTGAGAATTCGCGCTGTCCCGGAAAGGCGGCAGAAAAGAAGTTTGCTCCTTAAAAGGTGATCTTTAGGGCTTCAGGATTGTAGGGGATGCGGAAAAGAGGTACCTGTATAGGTATAGGGGATCAATAGGGCTCTAGGATTTTAGGGTTTAGGGTTTTAAGGAGTTTAGGGAGTTTTGTGGGGCTTCGGTGTTTACGATTTGGACTTTGTAGGGTTTGTTTACAGAGTCTGAAGTGCTTCTGGGTGCCTAGACACCCCGAACTTCTTTGAGATGTGGAAGTCGAGATAGCCTCTGCATGATCTCTCTTGGCGGTCCCCGTCTTGTGACGGCGGCAAAATCCTTCATCGAATCTTCATGTTGCTTGAATGCCAGAAACGCCTGCAAATCAGTTGGGCATCTCGCCAAACTCAGTACTTGAGTGATGCTCCTCCCAAACATCTTCTGGCTGCAATATTTTTTTGTGCCTGAAAGTGCAGCTATGGGTGTACTCGTTTCGCTTCGATGCCCAGAGATTGGTAACATCACGCAGCCCCCCATCAACGCTCTCTTCGCAGCCCTCGAAGCCCAAATTGCTACTTGAAGCGTGGCTGGACGGTAGCGGACGGCGCATCATTCTTATGAGTTTGCAGGCTTGTACTCTTATGTTCGGGGCTTGCATGCACCGTTATTAGCACACCGCAGCGTGCAAGACAGTCTCTCACTACCTTCCGGCGGTGACCACCGAAGGTCGACAGAGCCATGCCCCAAAGCTCGGAGACAGTGTTGGGCAAGCCCGAGGTGGTTCTTCCGGAGGTGTTGGTCGACATCGAGGACCACATTCCGTCTGAAAGTTTAGAAGTTTGCGAGGTGTCGCCCGGCATCGAGGACCACATTCCAACTGAAAGCCCACAAGTTTGCGAGATGTCACCCATCATCGCGGACGACAGTCCGTCTGCGTGTTCTATGGCTTCAAGACAAGATGTAGATCGCAACAAAGCTGGCCAGCTGGTGCAGCTGTACATAGCATTCGTGCATCAGATGAAGGCGACACGTCCAGAAATACTACGTGGCGTGCGCGTTTGGCAACTCTTGCGTTACATGCCGTGGGCTTGGCTACGAGGTCAGCTTGAAGATCTGCATTTAGTAAGCCAGGAAACAGCCAAGCTCGATCAGTTCTGGTCCCACAGCTGGCAAGGAGCAGGCTGGGCCAAGTTCACGAACATACTTTACCTCCATAGCTGCATGCCAGCAAGCATTGCAGGAACATTGGGCGCAGGCATTGCCTTCGGCCTTGTCTCAGCAGGACTTCTGGGTGCACTACAGACATATTGCATGCTTTTCGGGTTTGTAGCCTTTTGCATAACCCTGCTGCTTTGGCGTCCGCAAAAGCTGGTTTTTCTAGACATCGCTTGCATCCACCAGACTGATGAAGAACGAAAGGGAGAGGCCCTCATGAGCATGGGTGCATTCCTGAAGCAGTCGAACTCCATGCTGGTTTTGTGGGATCCTACGTGGGTGACAAGACTGCGACCCGGACTCGTTTAGTCTTGTCAATTGCTTCCCCTGTGTGGTTTTAGTGCCCTTCAATGATAAAATTGAGTTTCCCCGAGCAATCTGGTCCGAGATCGCTCAGAAGAGGCATCTCCAGGCAAAACACCTTTCGGGTGGACATGTCTTCCGTAAGCCCGGCCCATGTCAACCAAGATTTCGGGGGTTCCTTATTATACATATCAGTCGTAGAATGGGCCCCAAACCCCTATTCTAGTTATTAAGGCCCGCATTGAGTCAACCAAGGTGGTGCGTTTTCGAAATAGCTGCCTTCCTACATAGCCATGAGCCCGACGGTGAGGCAAGTCTCCAGCTTGTCCCTCCCTTATTGGGGCCAGCGTTTCTGGGCAGTGAGATGTGGATCTGGGTAGGGACCATGATATACACCTACATAGAGTCCTTCTTGGCCTCTTCGGAAGGTTCTTTAATTGAGGGAGAACACCATTTGATGCTCGTTGGCATCGTTGTCCTTGTTCTCCTCGGCTTCGTGACTCACGCTCTTCGAGGATATGCCCGCAGCGTTAATACGCTGCAGGAGCAGCTCCGTGTGTTCAAGGCTGAGCAGACGCGCAGCGCTTGCTGCGAGAACGGCCACGAAGACGGGTCCCTATGCGACCGTGCGATCATTCTGAAGAGCATCATTGCGTGGTACAGTTCACTGGACAGCTTTGAATTGCAGGTGCAGACTGAAGTTCGCATGGCCATCATCGATCAACTTGCAAACAGAGCCATCTCTTATCAGCGCATCTTGCTTCTTTCAACTCCGTATCTCTGGCTCCGGCTTGAGCAAGCGACTGTCCATGCAAGCGACCCCATCCGACAAGTAGTCAATCTGGCACATACGCTCACTTATTTCCTGGCAATTTTTCCTTTGATGGACAAACTGGGCTTTCGGTTGTGCTTCCGCTTGCAAGCACGATGTTGCAAGCTGTACTTGGACTTCTTTGTGTCAATTGCCATCGTGGTCGCAGCCTTCTCGTTCTACGTTGCTTGCTACGCGATCCAAATCTATGTCTTCCGCCAAAACGACCGGGAGCTTATCTTGAGTTTGATCTCAATGCTTTCATGGTGGACTGTCGCAGCGGTCCTGTGGCGCATTACCTAGGGCTAATGTCGGAACCTGATTAAGAAACCCTGGGCCTATATCCCCAAAATGGTAGGATTCATATATCCTGAAGGACCAAATGACCCTTAAAAGTATAGGGCTCTATACCCATATACTATGAATCCCTGTATGGTATATGAACCTTGAACCCTTTCAGGGTTCATGTCGTCCTTAAGGTATAAGAAACTTTAATAAAGCCCACGGTTTCCTAATCAGGTTCCTACCTTAGCGCTGTAAGTCAAGAGCTGCTTCGACTCCCAGCCCTGAACACTCAAGCGACGCGTCAGGGCCGAAGCCAAATCTGGAGTCAGAAACATCATCTACGGTCGACGCGAGTAGTTGCAGTCCGGACGAAATTGTATGTTGTGAGGTCAACAGCACGATTAGCATCACCGTCATAAACGCCATCATCAGCATCCAGCATCATCATGATCATCATGGTCTTCTCCATCAACTTTATCATCGTACGTATCGTGACCACCACCCCATCATCATCATTATCATCATCATCATCATCATTTGGGTGCGGCCCCCACTGTACAGATATATAAAGCCCTTAAGAGAAGCCCTATTATAGACTGTTACTGTATGGGGGCCGTACCCAAATCATCATCGTCCTTATCATCCCAAGGACGGTGAGCTTTGCAGATTTTCGGCCAGACCCTTGGCGACTGTCCGGGGTTAAAATTTTCAACTGGCGCGGGTCTTCTAAGCTAGGTTCCCCAGTACCAAAAGGACGAAATAAACCCTAAAAGGGTTTAGGGTTCATATACCTTACAGGGATTCATAGTATATGGGGATAGGGCCCCTACTTTTAAGGGTTATGTGGTCCTTCAGGTACCCTTATGCCCTTTTACCTTTTGGCTGCCCTGCTTAAGACCAACATAGTAGGACAAAGGGTACCCTTCTTGTTAGGTTATTAGGGGGTTAACCTTGAGCCCTAAACCCCAAACCCTATACCCTAAACCTTAAAACCCTATATAGAACCCTAAACCCCTAAACCCTAAAACCCTAAAACCACTAAAGCCACTAAAACCCCTAAACCCTAGACTCTTCTTAGAGGGCTACTGGGGGACCGAGTCTTTCATCCTTTCTTGAGGAGCTCAGCCGAAAGACTCCATTGTAGTTCCTCTTTTTGGTTAACTAAGATTTCTATTATAGGGTCCTAACCATACAAGTGGTGGTTACACCAAAAAAGGAAATACAATGGAGACTATAAGTAGTATGGGCCCTCAAGCCTGGGCCCCTTTTATACCTAATATATACCCTGTTTGTACCCTTTAAAGTCTTTCAAGGGCCCAAACCCAAAAAAGGGAACTACAATGGAGACTATAGGTAGTAGAGTAGGTAACCTTTAACCTTTCTTGGGTAGTATGGTCCCTATATAATCCGACAAGTCCCTAAACCCTAAACCCACAAAAAGGAGCTACAATGGAGACTATAGGAAGGAGTCGAGCGGCCGAAGAGCGGTCAGGCGAGCTCGAAAGAGAACGGAACAGCAGCTTTAGGGCCTCTAGGGTTTAGGGTTGTAGGGTTGTAAGGTTTTAGGGTATAGGGTTTAGGGTTGTAGGGTTGTAGGGTTTTAGGGTTTAGGGTTTTAGGGTTTAGGGTTTAGGGTTGTAGGGTTGTAAGGTTTTAGGGTATAGGGTTTAGGGTTGTAGGGCTGTAGGGTTTTAGGGTTTAGGGTTTAGGGTTGTAGGGTTCAGGGTTTAAGGTAGCTAGTATACCTGGGATTGAATTGAACCTGGGACCTGGGAAGAATAATGTCATGATCTTGTTCAAGTACTCCAGTAACACCAAGGTCCAGGCTTCCAAGTAGAACGGCAGAACCCTAGACCAAAACCCTACACCCCTTCGGGGTTAGGGACCAGGGGTCCGAATGAGCGTGAAGTTCTGCATAATTTCTCCCCAAAAAGATGGTCCTTCGCTTTGCGCATGCATGTTTCTATCCCTGTCGAAGATTCCACGCCTGCGGAAGCTCTTGGGGTTGGGTTCGAAAGTCTAGGGTCAAAGTTTAGGGTTCCGGGCCGAGTGAGGGGTGTGGTGGAGATGAAAGGAAGGAAGGATCGTTTTCAGGTTGCTTTCTGAAGTGACTTCGCGGTGTTGACGGCGAGTCTTTGCGACCGCTTTGGTGCAATGCAGGCCTAGAGCGAAGTAGCTGCAAAGTAGCTTCCTGCGCCATCAATTTCCGCTAAACCCTCCAGTCTCGAGTGGTCGTGGTTTTGGGGATTGCGTATGTATTCGAACAGGTTGTATGCCGATGTTCATTCCAGCTTATTATGCATGTCAGCGTGTCTCACTGTGTGCGTGTATGTGTTCGTGTATATGTTGCACACACACACACTATATATATATATGTATATATATATGTATAGACATAGATACAGACATGCATACATACATACATACAGACCTACAATGTACATGTATCTTACCTTTACATGTACATGTACATGTATATGTATATGTGTAAACATTTACTGCATGAACTCAAGCCGGGCGGTTCCTTGATGTCTACCTGGTGCCAGGCAGACAACTGAGAAAAGGTTTAGGAGTGTGCTTTTCTTGGGTGGAAGGGGGGCGGGGAATCATTGGTTGGACCTCTGCAGTTGGGCTTGAGTTTCAGGGTGGAGGGTCTGGTTCGGTCTGAAACCCTAAACTCTAAACTCTAGCCTGTAAACCTACCGGGTTCTTTATCTTTTTTTCTTGGTGTTCTGCTCAGGAGCTTCTCTATCAAAATCTGCTCGTCCGTTCAAGGGGATGGAGGGGTAGGGAAGATACTGTGGGGGTTCCCTAATACGATTACAGTATAATGTACCCGAAAACCCTATTCCAACTGTTATGGCCCCAACTGTTATGGCCCCTATACTGCACCCCTCGGGTGCCACATTAACAACTCAATCACCGGGAACTCGCCCTGCAGCAGCCCACTCATAACGCGCGGAGGAGCTGGAAAGAAAGTAGCTCATTTAGCCAGCCCCTTCACCGAAGCCCTAGACCAACACCCGAAACCCTAAACCCCTACCCTAAATGCTGAATCTTCGGCCTTAGCCATGAACCTTTCGGCCTTAGCCATGAACCTTGAACCCTAAACCCGAAACCTCAATAGTCCTAAGCTTAGCTTTGGTTAGTCGGGAATGGAAGAATGGTAATAATAGTAGCCATTGTTGCACCCCATTCCTCCATTCCCTACTAGCCCAAGGTAAGTGAACCCCAAAACCGAAACCCCAACAGTCCTAAGCTCCACACGGAAAGCTTGTTTTCGGCCATGGGCGTCCCGGGCGGTCGGGCTGAGTGTCTGACTCCTTCCGCCGCGGCCCGGGAATGTCGGAGTTCTTTGTGTAGGGCTTAGGGTTGACGAGTTTAGGGTTTATAGGGGTTTAGGGTTTAAGGGCTTAGGGTTTAAGGGTTTAGGGTTGAGGGTGTAGAGTTTACCCATAGGCTCCACAGCAGTTCCTTTTGGGGATTACGAATATGAGACCCCAAAAGGAACTACTATGGAGCCTATGGGTAGGGTTGAAGGTATGGAGTTGAGGGTTTAGGGTTGGAGTTTTTGGGGTTGAAAGCTTAGGGTTGAGGGTTTAGAGTATCTATAGTCTCCTTAGCAATTGTTTTTTGTTTTTGTTCATATAAAACCCAAGAGAAGATCAACAATAGTAGTTTCATTACGGTTCTAAGGGGCGTATAGGTTTAGCGTTGCAGGTTTGGGGTTGAGGGTTGGGTTTTGAGTTGATGACTGACTGCAAAAAGCGCAGCTTCTGGACAACCTAAAGCTTTGAACTCTAAGCCCTCAACCCCAAATCCCCGAAATCTTTAAACTCTTCCCTCAACGAATAGACCTGAAATTATGCTTGGATCCCTGCCATGAGCCAAGGCATACACTCAGCTCCTTAAACCTCTAAACCCTAAATGCTTAAACTCTAAACCCTAAATGCCTAAATGCCTGGGGTACTGGAAGATCTGAGCCGCGCATGCCCGGCCGGGAGACCCGCTCTGTTGGGATTGAGGGATCCTCGGCAGTATCTGTACATCTACTTCGTATCAGATGAACCTTCAAGCACACTGTGAAGACTTGGGATCTTTCCCCGTCTCCTTCCCAGGCCCGATTGAGGGATTGGTAGGTTTATGCTTTTAGTCATGGGTGCTGTGGGATGCTTGTTTGTTGTCAATACCTAAACCCTAAAACCCTAAAGCCTAAAACCCTGAACCCTAAAACCCTAAAACCCGAAAGCACTAAAACCCTAAACTGTATCGTCATGGTTTTGGTAGGCTGGTTCTGGGTTTTGATTTGTTTTTGGATTTGGAATCCTGTGCCTTGGGTCGGATTTGGGGTATCCTTAGTTATGGAGTATTCCGTAACTCATATTAGGGATCTTAACATACTTTATTGCATATTCCTGAGTTTTTAACAATATATAGCAATCTCTCGGAAGCTTCAGCACCCTGAACCCGGAATTGTGCATCTTCAACATACGCACTCCTTCGGCAGCCAGGGGGGATAATTAAAGCATCCCCTTATAAGCGCATAAGCGGCAGGATTATTCTCAGCTCCCAGAATACTGGTGATTTTCAGGTTCCTTGTAAAGTTACCCAATACCGAAAAGGGAGCCCTTTTTTTTGCCTAGGTTACTGGGCATCCTAGATCTGCTAAGCACAAATCCCTAGCACCGTGGGCCATGAGGATTCCTGAGCCTAAAACCACCCACAGGCAGGGAACCCTTACTATACCTGAAGGACCAAGCAAGACCCTTCAAAGTAGGGGCCCTTTTTGCCCCTATACTATGAATCCCTATATGGTATATGAACCTTAAACCCTTTCAGGGTTCATGTCGTCCTTAAGGAACCTGAAGCTCCAGTCGCTATTTTGTACAAGGGCCGGCGGCAATGGCAGCCGCTAGATTCACCCCTCTGGCAGGCTCGCAGCTCTCGTTTTTGTGTTTGATAATCCCCGCTGTAACAGGTTTCAGAAGCGGCATTCAGGATTTAGGAATGTAGTCCGC